ACCAGGTGTCGATGGAAACAACCTGTAACAACCTGAACCAGGTGACGATGGAAACAACCTGTAACAACCTGAACCAGGTGACGATGGAAACAACCTGTAACAACCTGAACCAGGTGACGATGGAAACAACCTGTAACAACCTGAACCAGGTGACGATGGAAACAACCTGTAACAACCTGAACCAGGTGACGATGGAAACAACCTGTAACAACCTGAACCAGGTGACGATGGAAACAACCTGTAACAACCTGAACCAGGTGATGATGGAAACAACCTGTAACAACCTGAACCAGGTGATGATGGAAACAACCTGTAACAACCTGAACCAGGTGATGATGGAAACAACCTGAACCAGGTCACGATGGAAACAACCTGTAACCACCTGAGCCAGGTACAGATGGAAACAACCTGAACCAGGTGAAGATGGAAAAAACCTCTAACCATTAGAACCAGGTGACGATAGAAACAACTTGTAACAACCTGAACCAGGTGAGGATGGAAACAACCTGAGTTTTTTCTCTTTAGCATTATGGCTTCATGCCACAGTAAGGCTCCACCTGTGTCTCTTTGTTCCTCTTTAGGTTTTGAACATTTTGTTTGTTGTCATGCATTAGTACTTTTTTAAAATCAAAACACGTTTGGTCTTTCGCTATTTTCTCAGCTGAATAACATCTGTGTTTACTCTGTGAGGTGCTTAGTTAGACCGTGTGTTTACATCATCCCTTCTCTTTCATCAGACTCACATTAAACACAAACTATTTTCTGTATTTCATCAGTTCTTTCAGTAGAAAAATCTGAGAGCTGTGTGACCTCAGATGATCTGTCGGCTCACGGATCAGTCTGCACGGAAACTCATGGTTTTTATTCCACACTTCAGCAGACAGGAGGAGATTAAATATGCAAACAGTAATCCTCAGAAGCTGCAGCTCTCTCCTCTTCCTCCCAAAACATTTTTTCACAACCTTCCTTTTTAGCTACAAACTTTGACAAAGAAAAAGTCACTTTAAAACAACTTTTAGCTCATTTTGGAGAACAAAGATCTTGCGATGATAGAGAACAATAGATATCAGTGTACCAGATCTTCTGGGTGGACTTCAAGGTGTTTCTAGACCAGCTGAGAGACATAGTCTTTCTAAGTGTCCTGGGTCTTTCCTCGGGGTCCCACACTGACCAGATGATCCACCTCAGCTGTGAGTCTCTGTCTTGGAGAACTGAACCTCTCACCTTGTCTCTAAGTTACACTGGAAAAAAAAAGGATTTTTGGGTGTAGTAAGATTTATTTAATTGTTCTATTAAATTTTACAAAAAAATATCAAAAGCTTTAAACTACTAGAATTCACTAAATAAACAATACGCATTATATTATGTATCAATATTACTGTACAAAAAAAGTAAATGCTAACATCATTTTACCAGTAATATTTAAGTGCCTTTTCTGGACAGCACATAAACATGAATATATGAAGTAACTTCTACTCTTCTGGGCTAAAACTGAGGGTGCATGCGCACAGTGCTGCTGCTCCTCATTCCCTTGCTTCACTTTTCAAGGAGAGGACAAGACATGGTGAAAATAAAACATAAGTTGTCTGGTTTCTTTTGCTTGAATACATTTGTTGGTGTGCAGTAGTTTGATGGGATAATGTAGGTGATATTTAGTTGTCAGGGAACAGGGRATGCATTTTGTAGCATTCTGCTGTTTGGCTGTTTGTCATGTGACTGCAGTGGAGGATTGTGGGTAGGATTCATGTTTGTTGTTGTTAAATCATTTTAGGGAATTGTTTAACATTCTTCTTTCAGCAATTAGTCTGTTGGGTTACTCTAATTTGTGTGTTCATTATTTAACTTGTGTTAAACCGTTCAGCAGAAGCAACCATAAGTGAGAGTGGTAGGCCTAGTTATTAATAAGACCTGTGACTTTCACTTTGTCTGTTTTGTTCATGAAGAAGAATCCAATAAAGGTTCTTCAAAACCGCCACCTTGTGGTGAAGTCTTCAACAACAAGAGCTACACCTCTCTCTGTAGCTGTGAGGTGTCATGCTACAATATTGTGAATGACGCATGTGCACTGTTATAAAGAACTTGTAAGATTTACTAGAAAAAATCCTCATAACAATTTTCATTTACTTTTGTTAAGTACATTTAAATACTACAAATTCATGTAATGTGTACTCATCATCATCTAGTAAAAATTATCAAGAATATAGTTAAATATTTGAGAATAAATCAGGTAAGTTTTATTTATTTTGATCAAGTATATGTTACAAGATTTAATTGAGCAAATTAAGCAAAATTTACCTGATTTATTCACAAATCTTCACCTATATTCTTAATAACTTTTACTAGATAATGATGAGAGTACATATTACATGAATTTGTAGCATTTAAATTTACTTATCAAATATTAGTGCAAATTTGTTAGAGGATTTTTTTCAAGTACATCTTATAAGTTATTTTTTTCAGTGTAGAATCCAGGTACCCCGCAGGGAAAACTCATGTAGACCTCCTGGATCTTAGATCTGGTTCTTTTAGTCACTACCCAGAGTTCAGACCACAGGTGAACAGAGAGCTTCACTGTACAGATCAGCTCCTTTTCAACCACAACGGACCAGAACAGAGTCCACAAAACCACAGAACCGGCACCGATCCGTCTCTTTTGTTCCCTCACTGTGAACAAACCCTGAGATGCCTGAACATAGAACCAGACCAACCCAAAGAGTTTGGTCCTTCCTGTTCTGGATGAGGACCATGGTCTCAGGTCTGGAGTTGAACTGGGTCTGTTTTTCAGTATTTTACTGTTGTGTTGTTTAGAAAAAATCCCGATGTGTGTCTGAGTTGTATCCCTGTGTGTGTCCGTGGCCCATGTGTGTGTGTGACGGTAATGATTTGTGTCAGGTAGTGCAGATTATCAGGTATTAAGTGCTCAGTTTAATTGCTGCTCCGTGTTCCAGCCTCAGTTGGAAACGATTGTTGTGCTTCAGAAAAAACATCCTGCAGCTTCGACACWTTTAAAGAGAGAAATCTGTCAGACTGAAGAAGATAAAAATCACAGGAACAAAAACAGAGTTCCTCCAGGGACCCAAACGGATCTGATGAATCTGTCGTCATGGGTCCGTTCAAATCCAAGACCAGATCTGATCCATTTAATCAGTTCTGGGAGCTGCTGAGGCTAATGAGCCTCCAGACTATTTAAATCCCCCCGCAAATGTCCCCTGCTTTTCTTTAATCATCATTTAAATCGCTCCTCAGAAAAACAACTCTTCAAAATAAGAGTCTGTTTCTGTTTGTTACAAAAGACTGTCTTCCTGTYGGACAAAGACAGATGATTTAGTTCTATAGACATTTTGGATTTTTTTTATGATTTCTTAACTTTCCAAAAACCAAATTCTTGTTTGCTGTTAAAGTATTTCCTTTTAACAGGAAGTGAAAGTGATCAATGAGTGTCAGTGAGGAGGACGGTCCTGCCTGCTGCGCCTTCAGATGGCTTATGTTATTATTTCTAATTAAGCCTCTTCACAAAGATCAAAGTGACCTCGACTTCACTTCCCATAATCCTTTTCACCACACACGGTGCTCCACAGACCGGTTCTGAGAGCAGTCCTGACTTACCAGGACTCAGTCACACGGATCATCCAGAACCTTTTCTCTGCTGTTTCAGAATAAATCAGCTTTTAAACCACAACATGTTCTTTTACCCACAAAACAGAAGTTTTATATTTTCTCTGATAAAACCAGACATCTGGTCCAAAACCATGACCCCCGTCCTCTGTTCTCAGTCTTTCCTCCTGTGTCCCCTGTCCTCACTCTGTCCCCTGTCTTCACTCTGTCCTCTGTCTTCACTTTGTCTTCTGTCCTAAAACTGTCCTTTCTGTGTCCTCTGTGTTTTCTGTCCTCAATCTGTCCTCTCAGAGTTGAAGAAATGGGTTCAATCGAAACCAGAGGAACATAAAAGAGACCTGAAACTGATCCATGTGGACCTCTGASTTCTAACAGGAAGGAGTGGGTTCTGGTTCTGGACTGGTTCATGAACACATCAGAAAAAAAGAGTCAAACCAAACGGTTCTGGTTCTGAATACACAGAACCTTTGTGTTGCTTTAGGACTGAATGCGTTTCTGGATGTGATGTTCTGGTTCTGACAGACCTGTGTGAGAGATGCTGGCTCTGGACCCTGCAGGTCTGGACCCCGCAGGTCTGGACCCAGGGTGGTTCTGTCTGGTCAATCATCACACTCAGAGGTCAGAGTGACACGCTGCTGGTTCTGCTGCCACATCGAACCGAGCCTCGGGTCGGAACAKCTCGTTAAACACATCTGAGGAGCTTTAATCTGGACCTGACCCGAACCCCTCCCTGTGCAGGAACCAGCGCTTGTTCCTTTGATTATTCTGAGCCTCCTGACAGCCGGGTCAGTGCCGGTTCAGCTCGGTGCCGTTTGGGAGGAGATGGATATTATTGGTTGCATGTGTCCGGCTGCGGGGGGAGGRGGGAGGGGGGGACAACAACAAAATCCTGCAATGATTTGATTATTTGGTGCGGTGGAGCTCTGAGGACAGACAGGCTCTGTGACCGGGACGGGATGCTGACATGGTTCTGATCCAAACCTGTTTCTGTTCCTCACCAGGACCATCATGGGCCCTCACGGCATCAGCAGAGCCGTCCAGAGGCTGGAGTTCTCCGACTGCAGGAAGGGACTGGGTGAGTACCTGAACCCTGACCTGAGTCCAGCTCAGAGTGACGTGTTTCTGACCAATCAGAGCTCAGAGTGACATGTTTCTGACCAATCAGAGCTCTTCCCTCAGGAGTCAAAGTGATCGGAGGTTACAGAGAGCTGACCGGAGAAGACTTCGGGATCTTCATCAAGAGAGTGATCGCAGGAGGCCTGGCTGCTCTGGATGGTCAGGATCTGTCTGTCTGTCTGTCTGTCTGTCTGTCTGTCTGTCTGTCTGTCTGTCTGCTACCTGTCTGTCTGTCTGTCTGTCTGTCTGTCTGTCTGTCTGTCTGTCTGTCTGTCTGTCTGTCTGTCTTCTACCTGTCTGTCTGTCTGTCTGTCTGTCTGTCTGTCTGTCTGTCTGTCTGTCTGTCTGTCTGTCTTCTACCTGTCTGTCTGTCTGTCTGTCTGTCTACCTGTTTGTCTGCTACCTGTCTGTCTGTCTGTCTGTCTGTCTGTCTACCTGTCTGTCTGCTACCTGTCTGTCTGTCTACCTGTCTGTCTTCTACCTGTCTGTCTGTCTGTCTGTCTGTCTGTCTGGCTGTCTGTCTGTCTGTCTTCTACCTGTCTGTCTTCTATCTGTCTGTCTGCTACCTGTCTGTCTGTCTGTCTGCTGCCTGTCTGTCTGTCTGTCTGCTACCTGTCTGTCTTCTACCTGTCTGTCTGTCTGTCTGTCTTCTACCTGTCTGTCTTCTACCTGTCTGTCTGTCTTCTACCTGTCTGTCTTCTACCTGTCTGTCTGTCTGTCTGTCTGTCTGTCTTCTACCTGTCTGTCTTCTACCTGTCTGTCTGTCTGTCTTCTACCTGTCTGTCTGCTACCTGTCTGTCTGTCTGTCTGTCTGTCTGTCTGTCTGTCTGTCTGTCTGTCTTCTACCTGTCTGTCTTCTACCTGTCTGTCTGTCTGTCTTCTACCTGTCTGTCTGCTACCTGTCTGTCTGTCTGTCTGTCTGTCTGTCTGTCTGTCTGTCTGTCTGTCTTCTACCTGTCTGTCTTCTACCTGTCTGTCTGTCTGTCTTCCACCTTTCTGTCTGCTACCTGTCTGTCTGCCTGCCTGTCTGCATTGCTGTTTGTTCACCTCCCTGCATGTTTACCTGCCTGTCTGACTGTCTTCTTGTCTACCTGTTTGTCTGCCTGCCTGTCTTCCTGTTTACCTTTTGTCTGCTACCTGTCTGTCTGTCTATCTACCTGTTTGTCTGCCTGATGTCTACCTGTCTGTCTGCTGCCCACTGCAAAAAAATGTCCATCTAATCACATCTTACATCCAAAAAGTGTTTTGAAACTGATTTACTAAACAAGAGCAGAATGTGTAAGATTATTAATCTTTGTCACATCCTACTGTCAGATTATTTCACTTTGAGAAGATTCAGACTATAATCTGGTATTTTAAATTTGTTTTTAGATGGCTAATTTTGCAGTCTGTCTACCTGTCTGTCTGTCTGTTTCAGGTCGGCTGAAGTCAGGTGATCTGATCTTAGACGTTAATAACATCAGTCTGGTCGGAGTGACCAATGAGAGGTGAGTTTGACTCAGATTGACAGAAACGTGTCTCATGAAGGATGTTTTAACAGATTTAAAGTTTCCTGCAGACAGATCAGGTCTTCCAGCTGAGGTTTGTACATTTTTAAGGAAAAGGAGGAAACTTCGTCCTTCCTTATATCTGTATCTGTGGTCTGGTCATGGAGGTAACAGAACCAGGAGAAGGACCGAGACCTGCCTCTGCAGCTCCTCTAAGGTTCCCAGACCCTCCACATAGTTCTGGGCAGTGTTGTATAAAGTACCTCAGTGATACTTGAGTAAAAGTACAAGTGTCTCATCACAAAATTACTTTGGTAAAAGTTCAAATCTTCTATAAGAATATTACTTGAGTAAAAGTCTTAAAGTATCTGATTTATTTTGTACTTAAGTATCAAAAGTAAATTTCTGACATAAAATGCACTTAAGTAATAAAAGTAAAAGTATTGAGTAAAGATGTTAGATTTTCCAAAATACATTTGGGAGGTGACCTCTTCAAAAAAATATTTTTTCTGAAGGCGTGCAGCTTTGAGTAATTGTATACAAACTAAATACAGTATCAGAATGGTATATATTTATACTTCTAATCCAACCACAATTAAATTCACTCTTTCCAGGAGCCACAATTTTTTTAAACAATAACAAGCCAAAATGAAATAGGAGTAACAACTTTCTACTTCTTACCTTTTTAAAAAATATTTAGTTTAGTTT